TCTATACCAAGAACCTTGATTCGATCTATATAACCCTAAACCTTAAACATCCTTAAACCCCAAACCTTTTTGCAACCGGTCTGCAGCGACGAAACCCCTTTTTGCTACTGGACTCAAGTCTGGCCAGCGACTAAACCCTAAACTCTAAACAGATATATGATATCATATATCACAAGATTATATATATATATACACATCTAGCATCTTTAAGAAGCCTTCGGGAGAAGACACACGATGAAATTCGGTAATCTTTTGAAATTCCCGACGGTCTTCCCCATCTGTCCCTCTATTGACCTTCAGGTGGATATGGTCGCGTCACGAAATCGAACCATACAAATCAGAATTAGGAGTCCAGAGGTCGATTGTGCCGGGACAAACTTCGAATTGGAGGAAAGCCCTGTGATGGTTTCACATGCAAGTACGGAAGGCACACGTGTCCAGAAACACTAAGTGCTCGCACCACAAGAAAAAGCCATCTCCCGAAGAAGCTCCGCTTAAAGCTTATTCTGCGGAGCACTGGCAAGCCTATGTACAAAAACTGCTCCGTCACACTTCCATTAATTCATCGGCATAAATCTCAGCCCCATGCTTTGTTGCATGGACACCTGTGGCCCAGAAAGCACCTCTAAAAGCTACTGATGCTGCCACAGATGTTAGCGATGCCACATGTTCGGCAACTTCAACTACTGTACCGGCAATTCCGTGACCGTTGCCAGCCTCGTCTATCTCAGGGCATTCCCTGCCTCCTGGCAAAAGCTCGAGGCCTAGGGCTAGCGCCAGCTCTTCCACTGCCCGCCAGCCACCTTCAGCCAGCGATATGTGGGGTCGACAGGCCCCACCGGGTCCTGAAATGTGGAGGCAAAGCTTCAAGGCCTCCAACGGATCATCCGCAATGATGCAGAAGTGAAGGGCATGCTCGGATGGGAGGTTCGCTGCAAACTCTTCGAAATTCGAGGCTGCCGGCAATCGCAAACAGACTGGGAGACTGGACAAACTTGAGTCTCGGATGTCTACAACAACAAGTCGCCACTGGCCGTCTGGACGCTCATAGACATGATGGAGAATCTCATCGGCCGCAACGGAACCAACGGGCAGACGGAGGGCCTGGTCACGCGCCCCAGCCGTCAAGCTTCCAAGCATCGAGCGAGGAGTCGAAGCCAAGAAGCTTTCTGCCGAACTCCACAGAAGAAGCGCAGACTTGCTGTCCGATAGAGACAAGTCAGGACTAGCCAATACTGCGACGATGACAAACACAAGAATTATCTCACTTCCACTTCGCACCGTTTCATCGCAGATCTGCAGCAGCGCCACTGCAGCAGAGGTGTCTTTGCTTTCTAATCCGGACCTGCACGCCCTGCCCAGAAGTAAATCGAGCACCGGGCTGGAAGCCACTTGATCAAGCAAGCCCCTAGTAGTCTCACCCGTCTCTGTCGAAGGAACTGGTCCGACAAGTCTGGGCAGCATTGCCTCAGCACCAGAATTTTGTGGCTTTCGCCCGCACGAAGCATGTGACCTTGCGGGACAAGTAGCTGGGCTGTGGTAGCGCAGAAGGATGACAATGACTGCGTCCAAATGGTCTTGTTCGAAACCGAGGAAGGAAAGATGCTTGCTCACGAATGCTTCGGCAAGGCTCCTTTGCCAGAACGCGTCAGACAAGCAAAGACGAAAGGGCAAGCACCAGACGGCAAAAGACATGCACATTTCTCCAGAAGCAAATCTACAGAAGGTACCCCTTCTGTCCTGTGTAGGCCTGTGGCCGTGGTGTCATCGTGCCAGGACATGAGCTGCAGCAAGCGCGCCGTGGCAGCTGATGCCTGCGATACACTCAAGGCCCCTGCGAGCCCGACATCCGGCTGCAAGAGGATGCGCCTTCTCAGATTGATCAGGGCCTTGCGGAGATCCGGCCACCTCAAGCAAGAGTCCCGCACAAAAGGACAGCACTGCTATAGTATGCTGGATTACACAGCAGAGACCGGCCTGTAGTGTATCAAACCAGCTGGACCACTTGAGTTCTAAAGGCCCTTCCATGCCATCCATGCCACAATCTCGAGAAAGCATGGATGGCGGTGGAGTTGAGCGGTCATCGAGGTCTTGCTGACGTTCTTCTGATCGCAGACCCATTGCATGCTCCGTGGCAGTTGTCCCGCAATGTTGGTCCTCCTGTACGGGCGCTGGCGCCCGATTCCACAGAGCGTCTGCAATTACCGGGGCTGGGCTGCTTTCTAGAACATGGCATCTCCCACGCCTTTCGGAAAGCAGCGATTGCAGTTGCATGTCGGAGGTTGGCTGCCTCCTCTGAGTTGAGTCAGAGGCAGAGGAGTTGGGATTCCAGCTGTATCCGTTCTTGATTGCACACGTTGCATCTGCTGTTGTGGCAACAGGCTGGGACTCGAACTCTGCGCAGACCTCCCTTCGTCGCTTCATGACATCATCAAGCGTGTGGGCTGCGACAACCCCAGTCTCAGAGCCCATCTTTGCTCTGGTCAGCAGCACTTCGGGCTTAACATCGCTGGAGATGGGACCGCAGGATCACCTGCACGCCTTGTGGGATGTTGGTGCAACAGGCTCTACCTGCTTCAAATATCATCGCATGGTCACAGCAGGATTCTGATTCTGCCGACTTGCACAAGCTGCTTTTCAGGAAGTGCTTCAACGTGACCCTCTACCACAACTTCTCTTGAGCTCATGGCCTTCACGCTTGCAGTCAGGTGAAGCAGGCATGAAGAAAGTGTGGAGGACGGAGTTCTGGGGCTTATTCTCTTCGTGTAACAACGGGAAATTTCTTGAAGCTAGCTGGGTGGTCCATCGGCTCAGCACAAACATCAGCCATGTTAAGTTCAACCCCAAACCCATACATGAAAGCTTTAAACTTTGCGCTCCTAGCAAAAATGAGTAATAAAGAGCTCGGCCAACGACCGTGACAAGCCGTTGATCCGTTGAATTCTGTAAACTGTAAAACTCCAACTGTTTTTACACAAGGCTCTGCTCGTGAATGTCCTCTCTGCCGCGGTTGTGGTGATTGCCAACGCCTGCTTAGAGGCTGCCGCCAGCAAACCATGCGCGCATCTGGAGCGCGACCACGGCCATGGCGTTGGCTGCGCCACTGCCTGACCTCGGCCAATGACACAGCAAGGGCCTTCACGTAGTTCTGCGCGTGTTGACCACTAAGTCACTAAACTTCTGCATCCTGCAGCCGCGACCTACTCTTCCAACCGAATGCAAGGACTGGCATGTCTTGTACAGGAACTTCGTTTTTGGCCCCAGCACGGACAAGGTTAATGATAAAGACGAGAAGACCATTTGCGAAACGTGGGGTCCAGGCGATCGGGGAATATTGCCTGATCGAGCCATGCCATCTCGTGTGTTGAGGAACTTGTTGATGACCCCCGAGTCCAAGAAGAAAGCTCGGCACAAGAAGACCAACTCCCTGTTGAAATCTGGCTACAGTACTGGGAGACTTGCGGCCAGATTACGTCCAGCCTGTCGAGCTCTGTTTCCCTGCTTTGAGTGTTCAGGTCCAGGTTGCAGCCGGGATACAGAATCACGTGCAGCTTCCCCGAAGCGATCTCGCCACAAACGTCGATCTGAACGTGGCAGCCCACGGCCTTTGCAAAGGAGGGACGATGAAACTTTGACGGTGCGATGCTTCGATGCTTTCGCCCAAATGAATTCCAATTCAGTCATTTTTCCGGCCGGGTAGCTATCTCAGCCAGGAACCCCTGCTCGACCAATGGGCCCTTCACTAGCGCAGTGGGCAAGACGACATGCAGCTGTGACGGTGGAATTTCCACCAGGTGATCGCCTGCATATCAGCCCATGACATCTCCAGGGCTCGCAAACCTCAAACCCCTTCGTTCCTGAGCTACAAACTTCCAAGTCACAAGTCCAATCAGCAGGACTGGAAGCTTTAGTTTCGACCAGTCACGCCATTGGGGAAGGGAGGCGGCGGCGCTGCTCGGAACATTCCTCGACCTGGGCACACTGTCCTCATTCTTACCGGAATCGACACATCTTACAACAACTTCGGCCGAGCCGCGGTGCTGGGTCCGTTGAAGCTTTCTGCTCCGAAACTGCGACCGGATGGATGGTACTCCTGTCGGCCTCCTTGTTGCCCTCCTTGCGGTCTGGAGACCCCTGCGGCCCCGGCCCGTCCGGCTGCTGCCTTGACAGGTTCACCGGCGCTTGCACCGGCTCCACGCGCTCCGCGCGCTCCACGCGGTCCACGTGCCCAGGCCCCGCAGAACCTCCGCCTTGTTCTCGCTTCTGAACTGGCGTGCAGGCATCTCGCCAATAGTCGCAGATGTCTTGTTCGGAATACGTGGCAGCAAAAGCTACCCGAAATTCCGCAAATGTATATGCTTTTCCCGTTTCTGGTTCTATCCGCTGCTCACTGCTATCTTCCGTCTTGCTTTGCGGCACTATTACTGATGGCACTGAAGATGCCGTGATGCCGTTGGGACGGTCTGTACGGGGTGCCACAGCTGCCACATGGGGACGTGCTGATGGCGCACTTGCAGTTGCGTACTCATCTGCCTTCGCAAGCAGGCCCAGAGTTGCGGCGAGCCGCTCTGACGGTGCACCCTCCAGTCGGACTATGCGTTCTGAACTCTCCGGGCTGGTGATGTGCACGTCCTGTGACAGGCTGCACGATGCCCCAGTTCTCGCCACTGTTTCTTCCAGTGGCGCCTCTGGTACAGCTAGAGGGATGAAGACACGTGTCTCCGGGATGGGCTGCGGAGCAGACTCCATCTCCTTGAAACAGAATTCGACTGCCTGGTTGCGCTGCGTCGCAGTTCCTCGAATGTCCAGAATGCGGTCATCCGGACCCAGGAAGAGTGCCACTTCCTCAGCAGAACCTCGAAATTGTAGAGTCGCCCCAGTCTGATCTCGGATTCTCGTGATCTTTTCACCACCCTTTCCGATTATGAATCCTGCAAACTCTTTGTCGAAAAGGAACCGCGCGGCTGCGCAGGAAGAAAATGTCCCACGACTGCCAAGCCTCGGCGCCGGTGTTCGGCCCGGGATGTACCGAAAGTCATCAGCATTCACACGGCCCTTGTCTGCCAAGTCCTGCAACACGTCGTTGGCCAGCACTGCCTCCGCGCAACAACAGCTTGCAGCATGCGAGTCCCTCGCTATGAACACACAGAAGATCGTGCCGCGCTAGACTAACCGACGGATGCAGTCGAATGGCGGCTCTGACAATCTGTGAGCGCTGCCCTTTTAACACCTGAGTTCTGCTTCAAGCTCAATACCACACGTGTCAGCTTGCATATCGTGGTCTGGAGGCAACTGGATTGTCAGGCATCCCCGTGATGCATTCTCTTCCGACATCAATATCCTCGCAGGACGGGGCTTCAGAGCGTGCACTGAACATCTACGGCTGGGAGCAAGCCGTACAATTAAGGCAACGGACTGTGCCGGACTCGGCCATGATTTCACCTCAGCCATTGCAGTCATATGCAACATGGCATCACCTGTTTCGAAGTAGGTCGGGTCCTTGATAAAGTATTGCCAATAGCACCGAGTTTCTGATTTTGGCCCCTTTGGTGCCAATCACCGCACCGATTGCGCACGACGGCATCACAAGCACGCAAATATCGGGTGAATCTTCGGGAACTCCTGGAAATGCAGGAGGCGGTTCCATTCGATGCTGCAGACGAGCACGTGCCTCAACAACTGCAAGCAGAAGTCCTTGAAATTCAAAGAGGTCGGCAACAATACTAGTCAATGCTTGCTCTTTCTGCTCCCTCGTTCCTGTTATAGTCAAGATCTTGTCACCTCAGTGTTCGGACAATACACTCGCTTCTTTGTTCATTCGTCAACACTCCCATGAGATCTCCTTGAATCCATTCAAGCAGCTTAAGGACGTTGGTGCCTCATGCTCCGTCGACACAGACCTCCGCCAAGTCGCGAAAGCGTGCTCAGTCAAACTGCGTGCCACCTCTGTGCGTCTCTGCATGTTCGAACGAATCAAGTTCGCAAAGCGGCACTGTCGCGCCAGCTGGATGTTGCCAGGGCTGGCTGCTGTGCGTACCACACACTGTGGGGACAGAGTCCTTTGGAATCAACAAGCGCCATGGGATAGGCTGGCTCATTCTCTATAGCCTGATGGGAAGGAAGCTGTTGCTCGTATGGGCTTCCACTGCTCACATACGACGGACATTGTGGATGATTTTTGTCTGTGTTTGTCAGTTAAGCATGAGTTCTGTCCGTTCTCCTGTGTGTTGTATGCCTCTGGCTGTGGGAATCTACCATGTGCGGCAACCAATGCTGAAGAAGCCAAGTCGTGCTTTAGCTGCAATGCGACAATCCGTTCGAGGCGCATAAGCCCTAGAATTCGACAGCAGCACGACTGAGACAACAGTTCCAGAAACTCCTCATGCGACCACAAGATACAAGACCGCTGCATTCGTTTGACCTTTCCGTTTTGGATGCTCGCACCAGCAATCTCCAACTTAACTGTAACAAGTAATAACTGTAAAGAACATTGAGAAATCAACATATGTCGCCCTGACCTTTCCGCAAGACACACTCACTTGGAACGTGGGACGTGGGGCCAGCTACAAATATTGCAGCACATCCTTATAGTTGGTTCAGCACTGCTCGAATTCCAATTCCGTTCATCAGATGCCGCATTCGCAGTGGCAGCTTGCATCGCGTGCTGGTGCACTGACAGATGATGCCGGAGACCTGCGCAATGTGACAGTCTCCCATTCGAGGATACAGACGGCATATCATAGCAAAGGTGCAGACATCGCTCCGTGGCACCACCAGGCATGCTAAAGACCTCAACAAGAAACACGAATTGGGAAGCGATACCAGCGATGCCGTTTTGAGTCTTGAGTAAAGGGCTTGTGTAGAAACTGGCTCGAGTAAGCACGCAGGCTTGCCCCCGAACTTCGCACTGGTAGACCTACTCAGAAGAGTGTCCTTGGTCAAAATTGGCGTCCAGAAGACTTACTACAGGAGTGCAACAGCAATGGTCATGTCGAAATCTTAACCCTTAAGACAACAAGTACTTTGCTACGATCACCCTCCAGCCTGTCCGTGAAAGTTCTTGCCGGGTTCAACCTAGCACTGATCTGCTCGTCACAACGGTACATTCTTTCTACCCGCTGAGCTGCCTGGACATAAGAAATCGAGCCCTCGCCTTTTTGCTTCGAGCCACCATCGTAGCAACGACTCAAGCAACCACGCGGCCACGCGGCCACGACAAGGGTGCACCTTGAGCTTCTGCTGACGGGGTTGCCATCCCTGTCGCCACACCACCAAACACGGCAGGGGTCTTCCAGTGAGCTTGGGCCCGCCACGATTGTATCACTACGACTGAGAGTCTTCTCCACGGCCCCTCACGGACAAGCCCAAGGCCAAACGCAGTTCCTGCATGTACTCAAAGATTTCGGTGGCCTTCTCACGGTCTTCAGGTGGATGCTTGTCTGGGTGCCACTGTCTTGCCAGCTTACGGCATCCGCGCAGCCTTTCATCGTTGTCTTGCAACCCTGCCAGGCGTTCCAATTCTTCCCGTACTCCTGCTTTTTCTTCTGGATAAAGAACACTCTCGCCGTAAGGAGTCCAGGGGCGATCGTGTGCAGGAACCTGAGCTGACAACCCAGGCACCTTCACGTCGACCGTTCCGCGCCAGGAAACACTGGTTTTCGTCATAAAGAAATCGACACGATCATTTTTGGTCCCATTGTTCGTCTGGTTTGACGAGTTCACCTGTTCTTCGAGGCCTGAATTGCTTGAATTTTGTTCTGCAGTTGTGAGATCTGGCTCAGCTCGCATCTGTTGCTGTGCTCCATACTTTACCTTCGGCATCTCCTTGACTGCGTCACCGGCATGGTAGCTGGTCACTGTCACTGTGACTGGGCCGCCGTGTCGACCCTTGATTCGTGGATCTGCCGGTATCTTAACAGAGGCACCATCAGGAGCTTCGACTTCTGCCCCGTTTTGCATTAGAGCGTCTGGGCTAACTTTTCGTAGAGAGATTGACACGGCCGGGGAATCATAGACTACCGGCAGGCCATCAACTTCAGCCCGCATCTCCAACGCTGCCTCAGCAGCAATAACCTCGGCTTTGATAGCCTCCTGCGTGGTAGACCGCACAGGGCTGAAAAGACGAAGTGCAACGATGTCGCCGGACTCTTTGTTTGTCTCACGCTGGGGCGTCTCAACAGGCGGGGGCTCTGCATCAAGAGGATCAAGTGCCCTCACCAACATTGGCAGGGCCACCGCTAAACTGACCCACATGTGCCAAGCCGTCACAGAAGCAGAACCCATTGGAGTGCAAATAAACCACGAACACTGGAGTCATGTGCCACTCGCGGTGTGTCGGAAAGCCATGGCAGCACTGAACGAAGCCACCCTCCTAAGGCCCACTAAGTGGCTCGGACCAACACATATGCCCGGAGAAGCTCTTCAGGGAGAGCACGGGGATACATCGCCTGCAAAGTGCGTAGCTGGAACTCAGCCAAGGTGCCACCTCGTCCTGGTTCGCGAGAAGCACAGACCTTCGGTTTCGATCATGGCCAACACGATATGTCCAAGGTGTGTACTGTTCCAGCCTCGTCAAGTTGTTCGAGATGTAAGTGCTGCGGCCATGTACCGCTTCGAACCTGTGTCATGGAGACAGAAAAGCTATCAGCACTGAGCACAACCTGCAGATGTTTTGCACGCTCGTGTAGCAAGCAAAAGCCATTTTTGCCCGCACGTTGCTGAAAGTATCCGCCAAACTCAAATGACTCAAATCTCCTTTTTCTGCAGGGATGGAGGCAACGACTGCCTTGGGCAACTGCTCTACGAAAATGCTTCCTACCGAAAGCTGAAGATGCGGCTGGGCCGCTTCAGCTTCTCTGCCTTCGTCTTGTCAGTCATGATCAAGGTGTAAAGGTACCTGCCTGTGACAGTACAGAAAACGCAGGGAGCAGCCTTACGGTCGTAGCGGAAAAAAGATAAATAGAAAAATGTTGCAGCGTTGGTGCTGCATCGGATCTTGAACTTCGTCTGGGTTCCGTTCTTCTTGATCTTGACCGAACGTGCGTCCTGTTACACATACATGGCTTCTGAAGGAGCTTCCGTGGAAGCCCCGTTGCTTCCGGCTTTCGGAATGCAGACACACACACACACACTTGTTGCTGACAGGGCCTGGCTTTGAACCTTACTTTAGCGGGGATTGGTTCAGCGATGCCGTCTTAAGCCTTTCAGCTTGCTTGGGAAACTGAAAGAACAATGGAAGCACCTCGTGCCTTGATGCTGTTAACAAACAGGCAAAGCTGGCTCAATCATGACAGGAGTTGCACCTTTGCCCCCCGTGTAGGATGAAAGGGTCACCGACCCCCCCCTTGCAAAGTGAACAAAGCTACTCGGCACTGTGCCTGGGGATTGCCCCAGTCACAGTAATTAGGGAGCATTGCGATGCGATTGATTTTTCGAGTGTAGCGGAGTCGAACCTCCGCCACCTTTCACACGAACGACGAGACTTACTCATGAACGCGTGGGCGGCTGCTACCAGCTGTGGAACCATACTCAGGCAAAAAACATTGGCTGTTACAGCGGAGCCTGAAATCCACCGTCTCGGCTTGAAACAAAAATTGGGCTTGCCACGGCAATTCTGATTCCTTGAGAGATCTCTACCTCACACATCCCCAGAAACATGAACAATCTGTTTTGAGACATCAGTTCCAAAGTAGCCAACACTCGGTTCTGAAGCCTATGGCATAGTTCTCCTTCGTTGAGTGTTGATGCCAGCCAAACTCTGTTTGCAGACCGCGCTTTTTGTTTGGTCTTCTACTCTCAGCTCTCCCTCTCCAGATTGCAGGAATCACAAGCTGGTCTGAGATTCACATACCCGGTCAAACTAAGAGGAGGATGCGGCTGCGTTCCCTGGGCGCAGAGACGATCTGTGTGTTGACCTTTGACTCTGACATCCTCTTTTTTGGTGGAAACATCTTAGCCCAGAGGGCGCAACACCCAGTGACTAGGGCCCTAAAAAAGCCTGCCCGTACCTGCGCATAAGAAAGCACTTGTCTAGCTGCGCTCCTTGCGACGGGCAATTTGGAGAAACTGTCGAATCTCGGTTATCCTGGGCTCAGCAAAGCTCAACATACCGCAAGCCAATCCTCTCTCGCCTCTGACGCAAAAAGCAAGAAAATCAGCTGGGCAGCTGCTTCGGCATGCTCGCGGTGGCAATCGGTTGCGCGATCTGATCTGCACAGGTACAGCCAGAATGCAGCTGCTCACGAAAAGCAAAGCACTCCTCTCAAAAGCCTTCAAGCTTACTCATGTCAAGCACCTCAGCCTGGCCTTCCCCCTGCCAGCAACGTCCACTCCCCGTTCTGCGGGGCATTTGAGAGACAGTGGCAGCAGCAGGACTTGTCGTATACACTGCTGCGGCAAGGCCTCACGCTCTCAAGTCAGAAGCAATGCTGCGCGACATGACGCTTGTGGACCGTGCGACCAGCCCAACTGACGAAGACTTGCAGTCTGCATAGTCTGCATAGTGTTCGCAACCGTTTTTTGACCAGCTGACCATGCCACAGCAGAATCGCGCTTTGACAGACCCACTGCTGGGGGGTCGCTGCT